GAGGCTGCAATGCTTGGTAAGAAATGTACGCATTATCCTGCCCATGCAATTGTAACCCCTCTGTACAGTATGTTCACAAATAAAATAAAATTAAATTAAAAAAAAAGAAAAAAAAAGAAATGTACTCATTATCTTTCCCATGTAATTGTAACCCCTCTGTACAGTATGTTCACAATTAAATAAATAAATAAATAAATAAAAGCAAAAAAAAAAGAAATGGGAAAATATTTTGTGGCATATATGGCACATTTTTATGGTAGTAAAAACTACGTTTTCTGAATATATTGTCACACCAAAAAACTGTCACTTTCAGGTATTTCTTAAATATGATAGATTTATATCTGGATTATATAAAAGTCACATTCAAGTACATTTATATATGTATTTAAATACATATAAATTGAATTTAAATAACCTCTTTTTTTTCCTATCCTGGTGTTTGAACTCAGAGCCTGGGCATTGTCTCTGAGCTTCTTTTGGCTTTTTCTGGGTGATTTATTGGAGATAAAGTCTCACATCTTTCCTGCATGGGTTGCCTTTGAACTGTGATCCTCAGAGCTCATCCTCCTGAATAGCTAGGATTACAGAGGCATTAGCCACTAGTGCCCAGGTAATAATTTGATATTGCAGACATTATACCCACAAACACAAACAGATGTCACTATGTCCCATAACAAATATATTCAACCCCATCCTACATGGATGCAATCAGATTTTAAACTCTCTGTTCCATTGTGCAAATGCTCAAATTTAAAAAAAATATGTAATTAGATGTTACTATATTTTTACATATCCTTATAATGTAGTTTGATATTCATCACACCATCCTTTGTCCCCCATTTCTTCAACTCTGCCTCCCTGTTTAGTCTTCTGTTTGAGTTAACCTTTATCTATCAGTTAATCTATGTTTTGTTTGTGTTTATGAATCAATATATGAGAGGAAGCATGCAGCATTTGTCTTTTCCAATCTGGCTTGTTTCATTTAAGATGAACATCTTCAGGTCCATCCATTTCCTGTAAATGACATAATTTCATTCTTTCTAGCTCAACAATAGCCCATTGCATTCACACAGCACATGTTCTTTTTTTAATACATTTTTATTGTGAAAATACTGTACAGAGGGGTTACAGTTACATGAGCAAGGTCATGAGTACATTTCTTATCAAGCATTGTTACCTCCTCCTTTGTTTTTCCCCTACCATCCCTCTCTTCCCTCCTACCTTCACAACTACACTCCCCCGCTCCCCTCTCGCCTGAATTGTAAAGTTCATTTTGCAACATAGTGTTTTGTACATCTCATTGTTACAATGGGTCAGCCTGTATCCTTATTTAAGCATTTTGTTTTTCCCTTCCTCTAACCAAATTAGTGAAATGTATATACAAGATGCAGGGCACCGACATCAAATACAGTGAAAACAGGGGTTATGCCGTGGGAGAGGAACATACAAAGAAATAAAAAATTCACATGGTACATTAGAAATACGTTGAAAACAATAGCAAGAAAGAAAAAAAAAACACTTGTGTCCCTATCTTGGAGTTCATTTCACTTAACATCATCTTTAAGCCAGGCCCAAAGAAACATAGGTCCAATGGTTTCCTTTATTTTCAATAACTAATATATGTCTGGGACAAGCAGAAAAGGCCAACAACACATATTCTTAATCCATTCATCACCTGACAGGCACTGGGCTGCTTCCATTATGGGGCCTTTATACCATGATGAACTTAGTAATGCAGTTATCTCTGTTGCACTCTGACTTATATTCTTTGGGATATTCCCAGGAACAATATATCAGGGGTCCTATGTGAGCTCAAGTTTTGCGTTTTTAAGTAAACTTTTGTATGAATTATTGTACTAATTTACATTCCCACTAACAGTATAGTAAGGTTACTTTCCCACATCTAATAACATTGTTATTGGCTTTTCTTTTTTTCTTTCTTCTTTTTTTCCCCCCACAGTCTAGGGGTTTAAACTCTGATCCCTGTATTTGCTGGCATTCTATCCCATGAGCCATGCCTCCAGTCTTTTGCCTAAGTCTAGCCTCACACAACAGTCCTCCAACATGCATATGCCTCCAAAGTAAATAGGATTCTACTTATAAAAACCATTATGCCTATAATACATTAAATCAATCCAAACACTATTGTAGAAGTTTCTTGTAACTGCTCACCATTAAACAAATTTAAGTGTGTTCTAATAGTCTTTAATTAGTGCATTAGTATAGCTAAGAAGGTGTTTCTTTCCTAAGTGTAAAAGGAGATGAATATGCTCAGTTGTACCACTTGGCTGATGAATATGTGTACTGGGTTAGCAAAAGGCTATCTAAGAAAAGACAAGGTCGCTCCCTTCACAGTAGTGTTGAGGTGTTTGTTGGCTACTTCCTTTAAGTTAAGAAATGTGAGTTGCTACTATACTCTGGCCCTTTAATGCTATTGACATTCTGGCCCTTTAACTACCTTTGGAGTTGAGAACTACAGGGTGACTAAGAGATGGCAGTTGGAAGCATGATGGACTTTAAGGACAGGTAAAGCATAGTGCCCTTGAAGAAAGAAAGGACAAATAGTTAGATTACCTGGGGCAGTGGGGAGTTGGAGTGACATTTCTCAGAGGGTCAACTCAAATTAGAATAATAATGTTTTTACTTAAACCTTAATCAAAATTTAAAAAGAGGACACTCATTTATAGGGGGAAAAAAACATGTTGTCTATCTAAACCTTGCAGTACACTGATGTTATTCACGCAATACTATTTACTTCTTGTGTCCCAAGTACAAGCTGAATCAGCTAATTAAAACCAAGGAAACCTCCAATTTATTTTTTAATTTTAAAATCCAGTTAAATCTATTTTTTAATTTGAAAGAATTACCATAAAAATCCCATTTTTCAAAAAGAGACAGTACTGGACAAGACAGTATTCAATCAGCATTATATTAGGTTGGGAAGTTTATTCTCTTTTGCTAGCATATGATAGCCAATTGTAAATAGAAAAATGATGTAACTTGAGTTTCCTTTTTAACATTCATTTCAAAGACATAGTTTATGGACAAACATTGGGAAGGAATTTTTTTTATTCAGTAACACTTGATAAACTGACACTTGCTTTCTTTTGGGGGAGGTCAGAAGAAATCGTTTGAAAAGAGATGCCCTGATAATGTAACTATGGCGATGACCTAGTAATTGGAATCATCTAGGAGAATAAATAGGACTCATCACATCTTCCATGGCCCACACGCGGAAGGGCAGTAAAAAGGGTCATCCCCTGGACTCTCTAACACCACAAGTACCCCGAAGCAATTATTTGCACCTTCAGGAAGAGAAACAAAGACTACAAATGAAGAAATTCCTCCTTGATAGGATATTTCTAGTCGCCAGCATACAAGAAAACGTGGACAAAGAAGCAATATCGGACTATTATGAGCAAGCATTCCAGACCATTTTAAAATATCACGTAGGAGAAGGAGTAACTGGATTATTGCTCATTTACCCAACTTCCCTTCTGCATATCCTTGAGAGCTCTAATGGTACACTTCTTCGAATTCTCTTAGATTATGTGAACCATGTGAAAAATGATGAAGAGTTCTTGATCCAAAATGTGAAAATTGTAACGGTGTCTCATGATATCCCAACAAGGATTTTCCAGCACTGGCATATTTCCATCGTAAAAGTACCGGTTATCTATCTTGATGACGTGACTCAGTCGCTCTCCCTAAATGAGGTCCTCACTGACTTCCTCACCCTGACTCATAAACTGGGGATCTACCTCTTCAAGACGGTTAAAGTGGGTGCCAAAGGGCCAGGTGATAACTTACACCTCGTTGCCCCTGACCTACTTCTCCCAGAACAAATCATAAAGTACCTATGCCGAGCAGAAGAACTAGTGGATCCAGAAACATTCCTGAACATGTACAGTAAACCCATCCATGTCACATTCGATTCTGAGGTGGTATGGCCAGCTCCTTCCCATTTCTAAGACTGACAGAGAGGATGGCTTTAGATCTCTTGCAAAAATGTGTGCTACTTAAATGAAAGGAAAAAGTTACTCTTTTCTATTTTTTTTGTAGAAAGAACATTACAATATACACACAGGTAATATATCAATCTTTAGAGTTAAAATGTGCTTTTTTTCTGATTTTCATTTCAACATGTTATGTTAAGATGGATGGGTTTAATAAATTCCCAGGAACTTCCATCATTTTTAATGGAATAATTTAAATTTTAAAGAAAAGGGACCAACACAATTTAAATTCTCAACCATTTTCTTATCATTTGCTGAGCATATCATATCACACAGCCGAAATACAGTGGTGTGGGGTAGAACTTTTAAGAGAATGTTCCAATCCTTGTGTTGCTTGCAACCTAAAGTTAGATGTGAGCATATGTCAAAGCAATAATGGCATGATGTAATGTCATATGATTGCTACAATAGGAGTAGGGAGCTTCAAGAACATACTTGAGGAAGTAATTAGTCTATAATTCTTGCAGTCAGAAAACAAAAATGGCTCCAGCGATTACATATTATAGCCTATATAATCAATAATATTGATTAATTGCAAAACAAAATAAGATAATAGCTTTTTGAAACAGCTAGAAGATCCATAATCAGATGGTCATTGTATTCCTTTATGTAACAATTAGTTACTGATCACTTCTATGGATGAACATTTGCCAGGCTCTAGCGTAGGACAGGATACACAGAAGACACTACTGCTGGCCACATTAAAATCTCATGTCTAATGATTCTATGTAAGATAAAGTAGGTTATTTCTGCATCCTACAAAGAGATTTTATAGGAAATGAAAAATGTTCATTGGGATCAGACAGAATCGCTTTATAACAGGGTGATTTTTGTTTGGAAATAGTCTTTTCAAGATCACCTATTAAAGGAGTGGTTTATGGATAAAATTTAAATTACTATTTACAAAATTATCACATATTTTCCAAACCTAATCCTACATGCAATTCTTGCAATACAACTTTCACATTCCTCTTAAATCCTATATGCTTCCCTTAATTCCCCTCTTAAAATCATGCAGAATTCAGTGACTGCCTTAACCAATCAAGTTCCATAGGAGTAATTGTGTATGACCTCTAAGGTTGAGTCCACATGAATAATAGCTCTCGAAACCCAAATACCAGGCAGTCTACACAGTTTCTAGACAACACTCTGAACAACAATATACCAGGCAACAACCAAAATCATCCACTAAACATGTATCATTTTAGGTGAATTTAGACTTTGGCCTTCTAGTCAGTCTGAGATTTCAAGCCACCCCACTTTACAGTGTCTTGAATAAAGATGAGCTCTTCCTCCTGATTCCTGTTTTCATGATGGGTTTGTGGACAACCTAAGTGCCTGTTATTAGCCTAAGTTATTATTAACATAAGTGCCACTCTTTGGGGGTAGATGATTATGCAGTTGTCTGGAACAACATGTACACAAACTACTTTCATCATTGCTTATCCAGTCATATGTACCAAGTGTTCATCAGGTGCAAGTGTTTATTGCACATCTATAAGAATTTACTAATGGGACAATCATTGTACTTATCACTGGATACACAAGCAATCATAAGGTGTAAATCTATCCAACATTTAATCCAACATTGTGAACGTATCTAACGTAGAGCTTTCATTAGTCCATTAGCTTTCTTGATGAGGATACTGGCAGAAAACTTTCATTGAGACAAAGAAAATCATTAGCAATCCTTTTTGGAGAAAGATACTTAACATATCTAAATGATAACCTTATCAACTTAACTAGTATACTATCATTTGGGTCTAAACAACTCATTAAGTATCTACTATGAAAATAAATTCGAAATGAATATTTTTTAAACTATAAATGTATTTATTTGTTCATTCCAGTGTGTACAATATCCAAACAAAACCAATTTTTTACAATAATCACTTTAAGGAGATTTATACTTATCCTTATGGCAGCTAAATTTATAATATAAGCATTTTTATTTACTTGGTAGTGGGGAATTGAACTCAGCTCCTCATGTTTAATAGGCAAACATTCTACTATGTGGAAGTGACCCAGACCTTTTGCTTTTCTTTTGTTTTAGATATAGATCCTTATGCTTTTTTTCTTACCCACAAGGACTCTGATGCTCCTCACCCTGCTTCATCATAGCTGGGATTACAGGCCAATGCCTCTATTCCTAGCTTGACGTTCATCTAAGTTTTTTATCATAAGACAACATAACACATACTCTGAACTAGTTACTTTTCCATTTCATATTCACTTGTAGCAATATTTGTTTTTAAATACCACATTTACCTTGAAAGTAAGATTTATTGTCACAACATATTTTTAAAAATATGACTCTGGGGCTGGGAAGGTGGCTCAGTGGTAGAGCGCTTGCCTTGCATACATGAGGCCCTGGGTTCGATTCCTCAGCACCACATAAGCAGAAAAAAAAGGCCGGAAGCAGTGCTGTGGCTCAAGTGGTAGAACACTCACCTTGAGCTGAAGAGCTGAGGGACAGTGCCCAGGCCCAAAGTTTAGGCCCCACGACCAACCCCCCCCCCAAAAAAAAATATATATATGATTCTGTCTCTATGGAGAAGCACAAATTGCATTCAGGGTCAAATGCATTATTTAGATGTTTCCTCAGCTTACTTTTAATAACCTTTAAGGAAGATTTGTTCAACTGTGTGTGCTTGATACACAATACATTCAATAAAATGCAGAATCACATATTCATACATTCCAAATATAATACAAGTTGATGAAGTCCAAGCATATCATTAAACCTTAGAACTCATACGGTAACTTTCAATTCAATGAAAGATATAATTTCCTTAAAAAATAGTTCACAACTTATCCCAAAAAGAAAACAATATTTAACATTGTGAACCTGCATTCTTCAATTTTTACATTATAATGGACAGATATTCATAAATAATCATGAACACTGAACATACAATTTGTTTTTTACTATTATAGTCATTTTTGGTTTTAGTTGACTACTTGACAGTAGAATTCCCTGTTGATTATCTATGGTTATTTCACAATTGATTGATGTGTTTTAGGAAGGTGATAGATTTTATAAAGAATAACTTAACTAGTATTTGAGAGGAAAATTTCCAAGGTGACCTTTAAAATTCTTAGTTCTAATAGTGGAAACATTGGATTTTTTCATGGAGTATTATTATTTGGCAATATTTATGCTAAAATGAGATATAAAGTCAGAATATTATAGAAGGAAGAATAGCAAATGCAATGATACAAGAGTAGTAGCAACTTTATTCTGCTTGAAGGACAGAAAGAAGAGTAGCTGAAGCAATAAAATTAGGAGAAATATATGGTTGTGAAAGGAAGCCAAGGATATAAGATATAGGACATTATGATTATAGTTAGGAAGTTTGGATTTAATTGTTTCTCAGTACTGGACTAGAGTCCTCTTGTTCTTTAGTCTTTATGTAGAACCTCATTGCTTCCCCTGGAAGCTCAGAGTCAGCTCCATCTTCACATGGTAGAAATAGAATGAATCTTTCCTTACCTGTTACTTTCTGCTCTATCTCTGTCCACCATTTGCAGAATAGCTGATGTAAAATAGACACTCTTCAAACAATTGCAAATCCAAAATCTGAAAATCAGAAGTTCCTGCCTTTCTTATCGTCACTGACAATCAATCCATCCCATACTTCTGTCTCAAACTACTTTTAGGGCTCTCACTCACTCCATCCTCCTCCTCCTCTTTTTTACTCTTCTATTTCCTAAGCTATCAATCCTAACTATTCAGGAGATTGAGATCTGAGGAACTTGGTTCAAAGTCAGCCCTGGCAGGAATGTCTGTGAGACTCTTATCTCCTGTTAACTACCAGAAAAAACAAAATATGAAGACATTATACAGACAGGCTAAGAAAGCAACCTCTACTGTCAAGTTGTTGAAAGATAAAGTTGGTTCATTGTAGAATTCTAATTTGTTTCTTTACCCTTCTGCACCTGTTTCTTATCTACAAAATGAGTGTGATAACTGTGTGTTTTAAGAGTGTTTATTGCAGTTCCATGAAATAATGGTGCAAAGATTCTGCCATATAGAAAGTCTGCAACCACATTTTCATTCTAATCAAAATTCTTCAATGGGGTACATTTCACTCAAGAATAACAGCAAAATTTGATTAAAATATGCAAAACTTTGAATCTGTGATTCCTGTTTTCCCCATTACTCAGCCTAATCTGTGGCTTTCTTTCTCCTTTCTCACTCTTTGTTCCATAATGTTTCTCATCTCTTTGCCTTTAATAAGCCTTTCTCCCTTACTAAAATCTACAATCAATTGAAAGTTCAATTTTCTCTCTAAAGACCAGCAAACTCAAGAAAAACTTTTCTGTGTTCATTATATGTAGTTCCCAATAACATTTACCAGTTCTCTTGTCATACTGCTGCTGTTTACTTACACTTTTATCTCCCTCACCACCATCTGTAAGCAGTTACCATGTGTGTGTATAGTGTGTGTGTGTGCATGTGTATATGTGTGTGTTTATTTAAAATAGAATAAATTATATATATTCTTACATACTTTTTATAAGTATATGTAAAGTATCTATAAATTGGAGACAAAGCTGGTTGCATTCAAATTTGCAAGTTAAATGTCTAAAATAATAACTGATCCACCCTACTGGTAGTACCAATGTTTTCACAAGGAAACATTAATCACAATAAAATGGACTGTCTCCAGTTCAGTGCAAAAATGGATAGGAAACTTTAATGTATATATTTACATATTATGATATATAACATAACTAGTACTATTACATGTTCAGTAAATTAATTTTTGAAGTTATAAAAAATAGAACCATTCTTAAGGCAGGAAACATATTTATAAGAACAATTTTGTTTGATATTTCTATTATTATTGCCTCTATAATGTGCAATGATGTGTGCAATGTGACATTAATTGAAAGCATAATATTTTCATTATTAATAACTTTGGATGAAATATTGATTCTTTTACATTAAG